TTTTTTGAGGAACTTTCACACTGTTTTTCATAGTGGCTGCGCCAGTCTGTATTGGTGCACCAACAGTGTACAAGAGTTCCCTTTTCTCCACGTCTTCGGCAGCACTTATCCTTTGTTGATTTATTCTTGATAGCCATTCTGACAGGTGTGAGGTGATATCTCACTGTGTTTTTAATTTCCATTCTCTGATGATTAGTAATGTTGAGCATCTTTTCATATGTCTATTGGCCATTTGTATCTCCTCTTTGAAGAACTGTCTATTCAGATCACCTGCCTATTTTTAAATAGGATTATTTGGTTTTTTGGATGTTAAGTTGTCTGAGTTCTTTATAAATTTTGGAAATTAAACTCTTATCAGATGTATCATTGGCGAATATGTTCTCCCATTCAGTAAGTTGTCTTTTCATTTTGTTGATGTCTTTCTTTGCAGTGCAAAACTTTTAGTTTGATATAGTCCCATTTGTTTATTTTTCTTGCCCAAGATGATATAGCAGAAAAAATATTGCTAAGAGAAATGTCAGAGAGTTTATTGCCTATGTTTTTTTCTAGGATTTTTATGGTTTTGTCTTACATTAAGTCTTTAATCCTTGAACTTATTCTTATTTATGATGTAAGAATGTGGTCTGGTTTAATTTATTTTCAGGTATTTATCCAATTTTCCCAGTACTATGTACTTTTATTATTATTATTATTATTATTAGTATTTTGGTTAATCCTCACCTGAGAATATTTACCATTGATTTTTAGAGAAAGTGGAAAGGAAGGAGAGAGAGAGAGAGAGAGAGACATCGATGTGAGAAAGACACATCAATTGGTTGCCTCCCACACAACCCCAACCAGGGCCAAGGATTAAGCCTGCAACCCAGGTATGTGCCCCAGAGTGGGAATTGAACCTGAACACCTTTGGTCCACAGGCTGACTCACACCGCTTTTAGCCAAATCAGCCAGGGCCCAACACTATTTACTGAATAGACTATCTTTACCCCATTGTATGTTATTGCCTCCTTTGTCAAATATTAAATGATCATAAAGGTGTGGGTTTATTTCTGTGCTTTCTCTTTTGTTCCAATCACCTATGTGTCTTATTTTATACCAGTACCATACTGTTTTGATTACTGTAGCCTTGCAGTATAGTTTGATATCAGGTAGCATGATACGGTCCAACTTTGTTCTTTTTTTTTATTTTTCCTCACCTGAGGACATTTTTCTATTTTTTGTTCAGGTAGAGTGGGAGGGGGAGAGAGGAAGAGAGAAACATTAATGTGAAAGGGACACATCGAGTGGCTGCCACCCGCACGACCAACCAGGGCCGGGGACAAACTGCAACCGAGGTACATGCCCTTAGCGGGAACCAAACCCGGGTCTCTCGGGACCGCAGGCCGACGCTCCAACCGCTGAGCCAAACTGGCCAGGGCCAACTTTGTTCTTATTTCTCAAGATTGGTATGGCTATTCAGGGTGTTTTGTGGTTCCATATAAATTTTTGGAGTTTTGTTTTAGTTCTGTGAAAAATGGCATTGAGCCCTGGCTGGTTTGGCTCAGCGGTTAGAGCATCCGCCTGTGGTCCAGAGAGACCTCGGTTCGGTTCCCGCTAAGGGCATGTACCTCGGTTGCAGTTTGTCCCCGGCCCTGGTTGGGTTGTGTGGGTGACAACCACTCGATGTGTCCCTTTAACGTCGATGTTTCTCTCACTCTCTCCCCCTCCTGAACGAAAAATGGAAAAATGTCCTCAGGTGAGATTTTTAAAAAAGAAAGAAAAGAAAAATGCCATTAATATTTTGATGGGGATTGCATTATATCTGTAGATTGCTTTGGGTAGTATGGACACTTTAACGATGTTAAATTATTCCTATCTGTGAACACAGTATATGCTTCCATTTACAGATTGGGACAAAAGTAAGTTTATAGTTGTGAGTAGGCAAAACACAGAGTTTATTCTTGTATTATTATTATTAATGTGTTATTTTCCATACAAACAACTGTAAACCTACTTTTCCCTACCCTGTATATGTTATCATCTTCAATTTCTTTCTTTGGGGTTTTATTTTCCAAGTACAAGTCTTTTACCTCCTTGGTTAAATTTATTCCAAGGTATTTTATTTTATTTTTATTTTTTTGATGCAATTGTTTTCTTAGTTTCCTTTTCTTTTTTTTTTTATCCTCACCTGAGGACATTTTTGCATTTATCTTCAGATAGAGTGAGAGAGGGAGAGAGGGAGAGAAACATCAATGTGAGAGAGACACATTGAGTGGTTGCCACCCACACGACTCCAACCGGGGCCGGGGACAAATTGCAACCGAGGTACGTGCCCTTAGCAGGAACTGAACCCGGAACTCTCTGGTCTGCAGGCCAATGCTCTAACCGCTGAGCCAAACCAGCCAGGGCTAATTTCCCTTTCTGATAGTTCATTATTGGTGTAGTAAAATGCAACCAATTTCTGAATATTTATTTTGTATTCTGTTACTTTACTGAATTCATTTATCAGTTCTAGTAGTGTTTTGGTGGAATCTTTAAGGTCACTAACACTCATACATTTTAAATTCTTGACTAAAGAATGGTGTTTCTGAGACTAAGCATGGGAACCTATTAGAAGTTGGGACATGCATTGGTAGTTGTAGAGACTGGTGTTCTAAAAAATTGTTTATAAACTGTGAGCTATATGGACGAGGGGAGTTGGCCTGCCCTATGCCTCAGCCCTTAATTTCTATTCTTTCTGAATACATGAGATTTGTCGCTATATTTAAGAGGAATGCTTGCTGTGGAGGCTGTATAACAGCCTTTGTAAAATAAAAACATTGATGGAAGATCTCCTAAGCCCTTACAGATATCCTTGTCATCATTCTGACCCAGTGTTTTGCACAAATCCTAGCTCATGTTATTATTCTCACTTATTTCTCTTAGACTCTATTAGGGTGAAAGAGCAAAACAATACAAATTTTAAATTATTATTTTCTGATTAACTAAAACTAGATTACTAAATTTTATAGAAAGTTTTCTTCTTACTAATGCCAATCAGTCTCATTCAACTATCTGGGAGAAGCCGGAAACCCCTTTGGAATTAGATGAGAATTTTGGCTCTCACAGGCTTCATCTGTTCTCCTTCCCACATGGTTGAAAAGCTGCTAGGAATATTTCTGCAGGCTGACTAAGGATCTGTTTCTCTCCACAGTTTCCGTGTACTGAAGTGGATGCTATGCAATTTAAATGTCTTATTTCCAGATCATTTTATTTCTGTCATTTCTGTTATGTCTTGGCTCAACAAACTCTAAAATTTGTTTCAGACGTAATCTCAGACTGATATACTGTCTAAAGGCTTTGTCACAGAGGTTTGTGTGCTTTCCCAAGCCACAGTATATTCTGAAGCTTTAGGGCTTCAAGGGCCAGAGGTAAATTTTATTTTTCCTTTCCCTTCACTACTTCTAGGTAAATCTCAAGTATTCTGATGCATTCAATTCTACCCCTTGAAAATCCAAAGTAGAATTAGACCACCACCAGTTAGAGGACTGCTCTAAGGAGTTCAGTTCTAAATTTCATCTAGAATAAGTATAACATTTTCATCTTGAAAAAAAAAAAATGATTCCAGAAATTGTTTATTGAAATAGACCCTCAGAAACATTTTATTTTTAACATGTATTTAGTCCCACAATTTCTGTAGTATAGTTAGTTTTTGACCCAAGGGGTTGATTACTTCTCAGCTCAGTCAACTTAAAAGGATTAAATTATTTACGGTATAAACTTTTCATTTATAAAGTTGACTCTTTAAAAATAAATTTTTTTCTTTATTGATTTTTAGAAGGAGGGGAAGAAAGGAGAGATAGACAGAAACATTGATGAACGAGAACATCGACTGGCCACCTCCTGCATGCCCCCCACTGGAGATTGGGCCCACAACCTGGGCATGTGTCCTGACCAGGAATCTAATCGGCCGGGCTAACATTGACTTTTTCACATGAATGATTTTCTTTTTTTTTTTATCCTCACCCGAGGATATTTTTCCATTTTTTGTACAGATAGAGTGGGAGGGAGAGAGAGAGAGAAACATCGACGTGAAGGGACACATCGAGTGGCTGCCACCCGCACGACCAACCAGGGCCGGGGACAAACTGCAACCGAAGTACGTGCCCTTAGCAGGAACCGAACCCGGGTCTCTCCGGACCGCAGGCCGACGCTCTAACCGCTGAGCCAAACTGGCCAGGGCCACATGAATGATTTTCCATCTCAAGAAATTGTTTCTGTTTCAAGGACTAGTAAATCCTACTTTATAAAGAGTTGAAGTGGGCCCTGGCTGGTTTGGCTCAGCAGTTAGAGTGTCCGCCCACAGACCAATGACCCCCTGGGTTCAATTCCGGTCAAGGGCACTTACCTCTGTTGCAGTTCATCCCTGGCCCTGGTTGGGGTTGTATGGGAGGCAGCCAGTCGATGTGTCTCTCTCACGTCGATGTTTCTTTCCCTCTCTCTCTCTTTCCTTCCCATTCTATCTGAAGATAAATGGGAAAAAAAATCCTCTGGTAAGGATTAAAAATATATATATAATAATAAAAATAAAGAGTTAAAGTGGGTTTTCTAAGGAAGTTTCTATTAAAGAACACCAAACCATTTTTTTAAATGGAATCATTGTGGTAACTTATGAACATTTTTGCAGCTGCCTCTGCTTCTGTATAAAATAGAATGATGTGGAGAGTAGCCAGTAGTGGAAAGATGGCCCTCTACTGTAAATTCTTTCTCCTTTCGCTACAGTTTCTCTTGATTATATTTAGTGGGCTTTGACAATCATGTAGTATTTAGTAAAGTTCCCAAATAGACTTCTCTTTGGGCTCTGAAGACAATGACTAAATTTTCTTAGTCACCCAGCATTGGTAATATTGTGGCCATTGAGTAAACTTTGAAGCAATAAAAATAATTGGGTTGAAAATAATTCTGTTTCATTCGTACATAGCAAGCTATAGATTCCATGCATACTCTTTGTCTCACCTGGAGGCTTTTCTTTGCCCTTTCTCCAGCACTTTGTTAGTGAACGTAAATATGACGAGGATCTGGGACGAGTAGCCCGGTTCACCTGCGATGTAGAGACTCTAAAGAAGAACATTGATTCATTTGGACAAGGTGAGATAGCAAGAGATTCTGAGCACCAGAGATGGTGATGAGAAGACCACGCTGTACTAATTAGAGACTGAAGTGCCCGTTGGCTTCTCCACTGATTCTTCTTTGGTGCCTCTTGTGTTTCTGTTTGTTTGCTTGTTTTTATGAAAAGTAGCTCTGAGATCTTTAAGAAATCAGTGGATACAGATGCTTGGAGCACTGAGGATGGGCTCCCTAAATTTGCAATAAGATTTTTTATATCCATTCTCTATTGAGTTGAGAGGTGTATGAAATGTAATGTAAAAAGGCATGGAGCTGTGGAGTCAGACCAAGTTTGAATTTTTGCCTCTACACTGACCTCTGAAACCTCATTTTATTCCTCTCCAAAATGGAGATAACAATACCTGCCTTGCCTGGCACGTAATAGGTACTAAAATAATAGCTCAGAGGGGATGGTGCCTCTGAAGTGAGAGTTTATGTGACACCAACCCCGAGCTTAGCTCCTTGGTTCTTTCCATCACAGTATGAAAGTGAAATGTTGGGTCTAGGGCAGTGTTTGTGAACTCAACAATAGTCCAGGCTTAATGCCAAGAAGAAAATCTAGTGGGGAGCATTAAACCATTAAATTCTGGCAACATTTGAGTTGAAATGTTAATATTTTTCAGCTAGATTGGTATTTTGAATTTAGGATTATTTTTGCAAAAGAACCTTAGATACATGTTTGTTGTAAAGACTTACTTCTGCCCTGGCCGGTTTGGCTCAGCGGTTAGAGCGTCGGCCTGCGATCCTGAGAGACCCGGGTTCGGTTCCCGCTAAGGGCACGTACCTCGGTTGCAATTTGTCCCCGGCCCTGGTCAGTTGTGCGGGTGGCAGCCACTCGATGTGTTCCTTTCATATCGATGTTTCTCTCTCTCTCTCTGTTCCTCTCTCTCCCTCCCACTCTACCTGAACAAAAAATGGAAAAATGTCCTCGGGTGAGGATAAAAAAAAAAAAGACAGACTTCTGTTCATATGAACTAATCTTGATTATTTATACTGTGCATCATTCAGATTTTTTTTTAATGATTTAGCTCTTTACCTTTGTCTTTCTTTTTTTTTATCCTCACCCGAGGACATTTTTTGATACAGTGATACCTCGGTTCTCGAACGCCTCAGTTTTCGACCAAATCAGTATTCGACCAGGAGATTCTAGAAACTTTTGTCTCGGAATCCGAACAAATATTTGGAACTCGAACTTCCGAGATGAGCCGAGTTGAGCCGAATGGCGTTCATTTGGCCCAGCGCGCCTTGCTTGCGTCATCAGTGTGAGTGCAGAGAGAGAGTCACGCTTTGTGGAGTCACGCTTTCCTATTGGGTTTCATTGCTTCGGTTCTCGAACAATTCGGTTCTCGACCGTCCTCCTGGAACGAATTATGTTCGAGAACCGAGGTATCACTGTATTTTGTTCAGATAGAGTGGGAGGGGGAGAGAGAAAGAGAGAGAAACATCTATGTGAAAGGGACACATTGAGTGGTTGCTACCCACACGACCCAACCAGGGCCGGGGACAAACTGCAACCGAGGTACATGCCCTTAGCGGGAACCGAACCCGGGTCTCTCCAGGACCGCAGGCCAGCATTCTAACTGCTGAGCCAAACCGGCCAGGGCACCTTTGTCTTTCTTTGCAGAGTCTGTACTTTAGAGTTTTCCTCACATGGGAAGCTGAATGTATGGCTTATATTATTATTCCTAGGCTTAGTCGACTGCCAGAGCTAGAGCCAGGAGTTTAGGTAGTAGGAAGTGTCCAGAAGTCATTAGTTGGTGGGGGAAATGGGTCACTCTGAAACTGTTGTCCTGTCTCTAAGATTTCCTTTACAGAGCAGTGGGGAGGGAGTGGAGGAAGAGGGCAGAAGGGAGACTTTTCTTTTTGTTACCCATTTTATAAGATTTTCTTTACAACTTACTCAAATTATTTATTCATTTTTACTTCATTGCTTTTTAGAGAGAGAAAGAGAAACATCGATGAGAGAGAACATATATTGGTTGCCTCTTGCATGCCCCCCACTGGGGATCAGGTCCACAACCTGGGCATGTGCCCTGTGAATCAAACTGGCCACCTCTTGGTGCGTGGGTCGATGCTCAGCCACTGAGCCACACCAACGGGGTAACAGTTATTTTATCTTAAATTGCTCATTGTGAAATGAGGAAATAGGAAAAACCTTATTCTTCATGCTCTTTCATCATATGACCACATATATTGTATATTTCTGTTTCAGTGTCCCATCCAAAGAACAGCTATTCAACCCGGTCCCGATGTAGTTCAGTTACACCTGTGTCCTTGAGTAACCTGTGTGATGCCTCTGTTGCTGCTGCTTCCACCTGTGCCTCTGCTTCCAGCCTTACAAGTACTACCAAGAAAAACTTGGCACCAGGAGAGCCTCCTGCAGGCATAGCAAACTCCAGTGGCCGGTCCTGTCAACCTCACCGAGAGGTAACCTGACTTCCACACTGGGCTAGTCAGGAAGAAAGCTACCAGATTATCACAGTTTAAGTGCTGACAGCTCAGTACATTACCTTCCTTTCTTTATTCCCATTCCACACCAATTTTGAATTCCTCCCGCCCCAGTTAGTTCCAGAGAAAGCATTTGGTATGTATGTTCCAAACCACCAGCCAGTTTAGATTTCCTGTTGCCAAGACTGCTTTCTGTTGTTGGCAGTGATCCTAGCTGTGATAGGTAGTATCGCCTGGTAATTAGTCACACTGGGAGTCGTGCACCCATCTCGAGGTAGATAAGTAACACAGTGGCAGGTTCACCAGAGTGAAGCAGCAGCTCCCTAGAAGCACAACATAGAATATATCTGGGAGAGAGAGAGTGAACCTAGTGCAGTGGAGAGTGAACACTAGAAAGTTGAAGCATAATACATAGTTTCTTTTTCTTGGTTTGAAAAATACACTAGAGCAATTTCAGGCAGTGCTGTCAGTAATTCTGCAGAACTGGTATTACATTGAAATTGGAAGACAAAAATAAAATCCCATGCCATAAACTTTCTGGGTTGTAATGTAAAAATGTACTACATGTCATAGCAGTGTGATTGAATCTATGGTTCGTGCTATCTAGCAAAGCAGATCATAATGATGTTTTATAATAACAAATGTTCGTTATGTTTACAAGTTGCTTATTATCTGCATAGCTCAGACATATGATAAGATACTTACCCATTTGAGGGCTTGTAAAAACCCAAAGAATGTTCTTTCTTCCTTCTTTAGCTTGTGCCGAGCTAAAGAAAAGTGAACTCCTCTTCGTTGGAGAAGAGCCTAGGGGTGAGAGGCAGGGAAGAAATAGTGAAAGAATGATTGTTCCTGATGTGGTGGCTAGGTTGAATTGGCTGGCAGAATTCTGTGAGTCTTGAGAGATAACCGAGTCCCAAGCATGGATTACCACAATTATGCTGTCAGAATACTCCTGTGAACTAAACTGGAACAAATGGAGCACCACAATGCCAAAGTGCTTTGAACATTGTATTCTTTTATCCTTAGGTGTTGCCGGGGAACAGACGAGGAGGACAAGGCTACAGGCCACAAGGCCAAAAGTTCAATGACCCCATGAACCAAGGGCGACTTGACAGTGTGGGTCGTTACAGAAGTAGCTCATGGTATACATCTGGTTCCAGGTATCAGTGTGGGCCACCCCAAGCACCAGGCAACGCTAGTGAACGGGGCCAGGCTCACTCTGCAGGAACCAATGGAACCGGAGCCAGCATGGAACCCAGCCCACCCAAGCCCTCATTCAAAAGGGGCTCCCCCAGCACAAACCCAGGACCTCTCATCCTAAAGCTGTGAACTCTTGAGGGAAATTCCAGTTGGCCTTTCTCCTCTATCCCACACAATTCAACTTAGTAACTGGACTTTAGGAAACTAATAGTTAGATTTAATAACAAAAAGAAGTTTTCACATATCACTTTTTATGCCGTTTTAAATATTTTTGGTTTCTTCTTTCCTCATTTTCTCTTTACCATTTTTGGAGGGGAATCTGTTTTTCCCTTGACCTTTCCCAATGATATGGATTGATTCTGATTGGTCATTTTCACCAGGAATCATGGGCAACGATTGCCAGGTTTCCCAAGGGTAAGCAATGTTCTTCCCAGGGCACCAGGCCTTCCACTTGCCCAAAGAGGCCTTCCTCAGCAACCCCCACTGTTCAGGCTCTCAGGAGGAGATGGATCAGAGCTAGCTCCTGCTGCCTTTCCAGTCTAAGCAGAGCCACACATGCCTGTCAGGTTCCCTCTAAACAACAGTTTAACCAGGAGAAGCACTGAGGGGATTGTGTACTGCCCTGAATTAGCCAGAGACGAGGAAATTTAATTGATGGAAAGGAAAGAACACTAGGAAATATTTGAAAATCTGCCTCTCCTCCCAGAATGTGCCTGAGATTGACACTCAGATCAGGGTTTCGGTCTTCTGATTGGCACGATAGCTTAACCTGCAGTTTCTTCAAAATGCCCAAAGCCTTGTTTCCTTCATTACCTTAGACTGCAAACCAGTCAGTCTAGGGAAGTCTGTGGGAAAGGAGCATTTAATTAAAGTTAAAAGAAGGAAAAAAAGTATTTCTTTGTTTTAATGTTTGAAGATTTTTGTTGTTATAGTCTCTCTCTTACCTGAATCGTATTCTTATCCTGAACCAAATTTATAGCAATGTAATTAGTGTTAATCTAAGGTGTTACCCATCAAAAATTTGCCCCAGTCTATCTTTATAGTTGAGTAAATAAAAACAACTGCCTAAATGTTCCTACATTTGTTTCCCAGCAGCAAGTGACTTCATTCATTATCTGTTTCTCTTTGGGCCTCATGGGGTAGAAGTCTCTCAGGCAGTTTGTTCGGGGTTTAAATGAGGGTGTCTGATGTCTAAGTCATCTGTCCACCGCCTAGCTTCAGAACCAAATTAAAATGTGAAAGGCAGGATGAGCAAATGCAGCTGTTCCTGTGGGAAAGAGTCATAGGATAGGGAATGGTGACTTTCCAAAGGAGAGCTTACCAGTTTAAAAAAACCACAGCTGCCCTGGCCGGTTTGGCTCAGCGGTTAGAGCATCAGCCTGCGGTCCGCAGAGACCCGGGTTCGGTTCCCGCTAAGGGCATGTACCTTGGCTGCAGTTTGTCCCCGGCCCTGGTTGGTTCGTGTGGGTGGCGGCCACTCGATGTGTCCCTTTCACGTCGATGTATCTCTCTCTTCCTCTCTCTCTTTCCCACTCTATCTTAGTAAAAAATGGAAAAAAATCCTCGGGTGAGGATAAAAAAAAACCAAAAAAAAAAAAACCACAGCTGCCAGCAGCTCTGTCAGGCAACCAAAGGTTATTATCAGCACCCCTCTCCTCCTGGCCTGTCCCTTGATAGGACTAGTGAATGTAGCAGTATAATTGAGCTCCCACATGTAGCAGGTGGAATTGGTGTCAGACCCTTCCACCCTACCCCGCTCCCCCAGCGTCTATGATTTAGAAACAGCAGAGCAATTTATTTCTCCAGCATTTATTCTCCCAAGTCTGAAGCCCAGACTGTAAGTGGCAGTGGTGCAGAACTTAGCTGCCTCAGGGCTGCCCCTGGTTCTTTGGCTGAAGCTGAGCTGCTGGGTTCAGGATGGTTGAACAGATTTAGAGAGAAAGAGAGTGTATGTGTGTCTTTCAGTAATGAAAACAGTAGTCAAGGAGTACTGGGAAGCCATTTTCTAAAAGGCTGATCACCTCATTTTTGGGAATTTGTCCAACAACACCATCAGCTTGCTGGGTGTCAGGAATATCCCTGCTTTTCTGATGAATTGCTTACCTTATTTTATAGGAAATCCAGAGATTGAAGCAACCTTGAAGGGTTATGAGGTCTGTCCCTGTATCCAGGCAAAACTATTTAACTACCCAGAAAGATGGGAAGCCAAAGATGGGAAGCCATTGTTTGTGCCACTGTTTTTGAAATGTTTTTAAGTCGAAATTAAAATCTTATAGCCCTGGCCAGTTTGGCTCAGTGGTTGGAGCGTCGGCCTGCGATACAGAGAGACCCGGGTTCGGTTCCCGCTAGGGGCATGTACTTCGATTGCAGTTTATCCCCGGCCCTGGTTGGCCGTGCGGGTGGCAGCCACTCGATGTGTCCCTTTCACATCGATGTTTCTCTCTCTCTCTTTTCTTCTCTCTCCCTCCCACTCTATCTGAACAAAAAATGGAAAAATGTCCTCAGATGAGGATTAAAAAAAAAAAATCTTATAGAAAAATATAGTCCTGGCCTATTTGGCTCAGCGGTTAGAGCATCAGATCACAGACCAGAGTCACAGGTGTGATTCTGGTTAAGGGCACATACCTTGGTTGCAGTTCGGTCCCCAGCCCTGGTTGAGGTCGGGCGGGAGGCAACCGATGGTGTCTCTCTGTCTCTCGCCCTCCCTCCCCCCTTTCCACTCTCTATCTCTCAGCAAAAAAAAAAAAAAGAAAGGAAAAGTTTATATAGATCTTTTTCTATGACCATAAAAAGTTTAAAAATTATGAAAATATGTTTACATTTTTTTTATAATTACAAAAGTAGCATTTAAAACATCAAATAATACAGAAATGTAAAAGGAGAACCTGGCTGGTGTGGCTCAGTGGATTGAGCCTCGTTCCGTGGACTGAGAGGTCCTGGTACGATTCCTTGTCAGGGCACATGCCTGGGTTGTAGGCTCCATCCCCAGTAGGGGGTGTGCAGGAGGCAGCCAATCCATATGTCTATCTATCTCTCCCTTCCTCTCTAAAAAAATCAATAAAAAATTTTTTTAAATGTAAAGGAGAGAGTTAAATTTCCACCATCTCATTCTATTCCTCAGGGTTAGTAATGACTATTAATAATTTGGTATATACTTTTATAGACTTTTTTTTAATCCTCACCTGAGGACATTTTTCCATTTTTTTTGTTTGGGTCAAGTGGGAGAGGGAGAGAGAGAGACAGACAGACATGACATGAAAGGGACACATCGAGTGGTTGCCACCCGCACAACCCAACCAGGACCGGGGACAAACTGCAACCGAGGTACGTGCCCTTAGCGGGACCCAAACCTGGGTCTCTCTGGACCGCAGGCCAACACTCTAACTGCTGAGCCAAACCGGCCAGGGCTATAGACTTTTTTTCAAAGCATATATATGTTTTGTTTTGTTTTATATGTATTCTGCAATTCTTTTTTTTTTTTTAATCCTCACCAGAGGATATTTTTTTCTATTGATTTTTAGAGAGAGTGAAGGGAGGGGAGAGGAAGAGGCAGACAGACATCAGTGTGAGAGAGATACATCAATTGGTTGCCTCCTGCACTCGCCCCATCTGGGGCTGGGGATTGAACCTGTGACCCTTCGGTGCATGGGCCAATGCTATAACCACTGAACCATGCCATCCAGGGCTTTGATTCTTTTTAAAAATAATTTCTAAACCACAGTTTATTTGGGAACTTCTATTGTATATATTCTGCTCCTAAATTTGCAAAATTGACTTTTTTTGATAAAGGTAAGTTTGGTTTATCTTTAGTTTGAATCATGCAGCCCATTCCTTGCTCCCCATAATAGCTCTGGGCTTCCCAAGGGAAGAGAGTCTCCAAACCCTGGGCAGCTCCCACTGGCTGGTCAGAGAGATCCTACCTAATCAAAATTTTTCCTTCCCTTTTCATTTCCTCTTAGAGAGCAATGTCTTGCCTTTTCCCAACTCAGAGATAGGACTTGAAACTTAAGGTTGCTTAGTCCTGGCAGTTATGTGCCCCTGGAGAGAGAACGTTTAAATTAGCATGGCTTCATTGTGAACATCAGATAGTTCCTAAGCCCCTTATGTACAGCATTTCTTAAATTTCACTTTTTAAAAGTAATACGTTCTTTTAAAAAGGTACAAAAGGATGCACGATTGAAAGTAAAAAAGCCTCCCCTATCTTGTCCCACTGATAAGTTTCTTATATATCTTGCCACAAATTTTCTAAGTTCAAACATGCAAATATATTTCTTTCTTTTATATAAGTGTGAATAAAACTATGCATACATACTTCTATAACCTTGCTTTTTTCACTTCTTATTTTTTATAACTAGTTTTTGTTTTGTTTTACCAAAAAAATCAATATGTACAAATGGTAAAAATAATAATAAATTTAAACAGATCCAACGTGTATATGATGAAAAATACGCCTCCATCCCACTCTGGACTCTTTGCTCCCTCCCACTCTTAAGTACCTTGTGATTCCCTCCAGAGGTTTTTTCTGTACTACCACACATATATCGAAAGGATGTATATATACCATTTAGACCTCTTTCCATTTTGGTATACACAAACATAACTTGTTCTTTCTATAGTAGTCCATTGTATAAATTTATCATAATTAGTTTAATCAGTCTCTAATGATGGTTTTCAGTTTTTTGCTATTATAAGTATTGCTGAAATGAGCATCTTAGAATATGTATATCATTCCTCATTTGTGAATGTGTATCTTTAGGACAAATTCCTAGGAGTGGAATTGCTGGATTTCATAGTTTTTGATAAAGTACTCTTAAAAATGCATGGATTGTCCTGGCTGGTTTGGTTCAGCGGTTAGAGCATTGGCCCACGGACCAGAGAGTCCCAGGTTAGGTTCCTGCTAAGGGCACGTACCTTGGTTGCAGTTTGTCCCTGGCCCGGTTGGGGTTGTGTGGGTGGCAACCACTCCATGTGTCTCTCTCACACCGATGTTTCTCTCTCTTCCCTCCCGCTTTATCTGAAGATAAATGCAAAAATGTCCTCAGGTGAGGATAAAAAAAATTTTTAAAAAATGCATGGATTGCCCTGGCTGGTTTGGCTCAGCGGTTGGAGCATTGGCCTGCGGACCAGAGAGTTCCGGGTTTGGTTCCCACTAGGGGAACGTACCAAAAAAAAAAAAAAAATGCATGGATTGCCCTGCCGGTGTGGCTAAGTGGTTGAGCATCGACCCACGCACCAAGAGGTAGCCAGTTTGATTCCCTGTC